GGTTTGATAATACGATATAAATTAATACAACAAGAATCTTGGTTCCAGTAAATACATAATTTAATATTCAACCAACTGATTTTTTTGCATGACTCACATTCAGACTTCCAGCAGGGAACGAGTAGGTGATGACATAAGTGTCCCATGGTATATATCCTGACAGTGATTCATGTAATCTTTCCACTGACATTTCTCCACCAGGTGGTTGTTGGTTGATGGTTCTTAGACCAGATGAAGTAGCTTGACTTGAAGACTGAGATTCTGAAAATTGAAACATCATTCCAGTGAGAGGAGTTTCAGAACAGGAAAGAGAAAATTGAAAAATAGTCATGGGCACAATTACGGCTTCCTCCACCACCAAGTCCCATACATCTGAAACACATAACTGGCTAATTTATCCCATACCCAACATGAGCCGGCAACAGGGACGAGAGGCTGTGGTTAAACGTCTTATCACTCCCCCAGGATAAATTTATAAATCAGTGTTAACTCTAAGCGAATTATGAGTGCGAAAGTGCTTCGCAATCAGAAAAAAAAGTGCGAAAGTGCTTTTGCCGATTTTAACGAGTTAGGTGCCCTAGCTCTTGTTTTAACTCATTTGAAACAGCATAGATACTCGAAAAAACGCTCCTTCCGTTAATATTATGAATTAAAGAGGAGCATTTCCGTTAACGGAGTTTCGTTTAAATTCTGTTTAAAACAAGCGAAACGAAAGGACACCTGCTAACACCTGTCGCGAACAAAAATTTCATGAAATCTATCCACCCCTGTCAGTTGCTAACTCGCGTGAACAGCGAAGGCTTTCACATTTGTGTTACTCCTTCCATCTAACAGACAACGATTGATACATGAAAGATGGAATCCATATTAGTTACAGGTTGTATCATTTGTACAAAGCCCGTGCAAAATAACAACCCCAAGAAATAAAAGCCCAAAATAAAATTAGTAATTGCCCAACTAGGGTTAGGAATACAAATTGCCCTGAAAATTTAACTTTTCAATTTAACTCTAATCAGATTTTTAATAATTTGTCATTTTAAATCAGTTTGAAAGTCGCCACCTGCTGTTTTAATAGGTTGACCTACGTTCCCTCCGAAATACTAGGCAAGTTCCTCCCCTGTTTTTAAAAGATAGGTTGACCTACTTTCCTTTCAAACTTTTTTCTTCGAAATATTATGCAAGATCACTTATGCAAAATCCTCCCCCCCCCCGTTTCCTGGGCTAGCTTGACCTGATTTCTCATTTACAATATATTATACCAGGATGGTCCAAACTGCAGCCCGCGCGTACACTACTAAACCATTGGCAAATATTTGTATTTCTTAGAGAAATAATTTTGATTTTTTTTAAAACTATTTCATCTGAGAATAGTCCTTTTCCTAATCCCCATGTCGGGATTGAGGTTTGTTAAAATCGGAATTACATTGTTGTATCTATAAACGGTGCCTATCGGTGTATGGAGAATAAATTGTCTTGTGCAGACAGGACCAAGCCGATGAGATGAGCTCGTGTCAAGTAACTCCTCATTCGAAGAGACGTTTTGTGCCTTTATTTTAGTCAAAACATTCCCCTAATTTTATTCCTATTATCCTTATTTCAGTTCTATCACGATCTTGGGCACTGTCTGTGTCAGCCAAGTGAATACACCACACCCCCTTCTTTCCATGGTAATTAGTCCTTTTACACCAGTGGTCTTCAAACTTTTTGAGACACGACCCCATCTACAATATTATTACGTATGATAAGCACTCGCGACCCCAAGTTATATATATGTGTTCACCTACAGACACGAAAAAAATATTTATCAAATTAGGAAATTTATTAAAAGAACCCAACAACAACCATATTTAATCAGTGTGAAGAATGCGACTGCTTCCTTCCAACGAGATCTTGCATTCGTGGCTTAATGTTGCTTAAGCTCAAACGCAAATCGTGTTCTACGTTTAATCGATTTCGGTGCTTTGAATTTAGCAGACTCATAGCACTAAAAGTAAAGCTTTCAAAAAGATTGATCATACGATATTTTTCTTTCATGTTTTTCAGCCATTTAATAAATTGTAATTATCAATATGACGGTAGCCTGGAAAATGAGATTTTGCAGTAAAAGCGACGGCCACTGTACAGTACATTTAACGACACAATAACGATTTACTTTAAAATATAAAATACTGTCGTTACGCAATAGCCTTATTACAAAAGGAGTCACTCCAATTCGAAATATCGAAACTTGCTAGCCTATTGAGCATTATTCAACTTAACAGTGCAGACTGCACACTGTTGTGTATTTGTGTCATTGAACACTGTTTTTCACACGGACTAAATTTGTGATTATGATGTCATAATTAATTGATCGTAATTGCTCTTGATATTACTCGTCTGCGTGCTTGCTATTCATTTTTTTGTTTGAAATATCTAGCGTTAGGCCGAGAAGTCACACACAATATAAAAATAATAAAAGAAAAGACAACGATGGGCACTCGGCGACCCCAGAAATATTTAAGGCGACCCCACGTGGGGTCGCGACCCACACTTTGGTGATCACTGCTTTACACAACTTGATGTGAAGTAGGCGAACAAAATTAGTTACCTCCATATTGGTATGGAGCGCCGAAAAGAAAATACCACGATATTTCACGGGAAGCAATTTTAAAATAACTAAATGCTTTATATAGTTTCATTAAAAAAAACGATTGATACGATAAACTTTCATTCTTAAATATATTTAAAGTGAGTAAACTCGCGATGCTTCAATCGATTTTGGGTTTTCTCCGAATGGGGCCCGCGAGACCTCCTCGAAAGTTTTTGCGGTCCTTCATCCTCGCAACCTTGGAACACCCTGTATTATACTATTTCAGAGCTCTCGCAAAGACAAGTAATTTTTAAATGTCGGCGTGCCTTGGTTTGCGTGCGAGTTATTTCAAAATTTCCAGGAATTCATAAATAGCACTCTCAGTAATGCTGCAGACCTAGTATAAAATATCCGCATTCCACTTGCGACGTTTTCAAATATCACAATTACACTAATAGATGACAACTACACGATGACACCAAAGAGTTTTCTTTTGCGAAGGTACACGAAATACAACGAGAATGATTCTCGAAAAAATGATATGATAGTGGTTCCCAAATCAGTTGGAGTGTGTCACGAAATATCAATCCATTCGATAAATAGTGCACTTTGGTCACAATTCATCGATGTCATATCGATAGTCACATGACCACTCTCCTTCAAAGAAACGCACTGCGTCGCATTCCAAATCTGCAAAATCCGTAAATAGAATTGCGAATTACTGGGTGACATTTTAGCAATAATTATCGCCGGGGTATTTTTTGTTAAAAAAAAAAGTTGAAACTTGAGGGAATTAGTTACAATTAGCGCCTGACCCGCTATTAGGCACAAAAGCACTCGAGCCCAATCGTTTTAGCATTAGTCGCATATGTGAAATATCCTTCAAGAAGTGCTGTTTATTAACGTCATCTCGTCTTATGACCACGCAGAAATTCCCTTATTGTCGAATTATTTAATCAATATTTTAAATCAACATTTAGGTTTAGCACAATCTCAGATTGGCGAGGTTTATCTGTAAAATAATACAGACGCCATAGAAAAGCTAAGAAAATTAACTTTCGTCTCAATAAATATCTGCATCACGGTATCGATAATAATATAACCGTTCGCTTAAAATTGGGACGGTAAATTTACAAATCTTGATAATAATAAAGCAAATATTAAAGCCAATGCAAATGTTAATTTGGGTCCTTAATGTCTTTAACAGCTGTTGCCGATGTGAACGCTCGGGTAAACCCGAAATATAAAACTTCGATGTCCGCCGACCCGCAAGAATTCATATTTGCAAAAAAAGAGAAAGGGCGGGAATATAGATTACCAAATCCTGGAAATCGCCACCAAAACGATCGCGGTGACAAGAACAATTAGCGATTAAAGGCTTTGTTGCCGATGTTTCCACCGACGCTCTAGACTTCTGTTGTGTATAAAAAATATTCGTTATTCGACTATTCGCTACTGTTAAAAAATATTCGATTCGAAATAATATTGAATTTCATCGTGACTCGTGAGTGACTAGATAATAATAAATATCGCAAAATTCCGCGAGAAATGCCACTGCTTTTAACATTCATGTTTACAATAAAATGGCACTTAATACGACCTATGTATTTTGTGGATTTGGTGATTTTGCAAATCTGTGAGATGCTGCTGAAAGTTTGGTCTGATTAGAAAATCGTGCACTTTGGTCACAATTCATAGATATCAATGATAGTCACACGACCACTCTCGTTCAAAAAAACACACTGTGTAGTATTCCAACATCTGGTTTCAAAGAGGCCGCCGAGCGCTTTTGCCGGAGAAGTGGAATTGTTGTGCTTGTATAATAATCATATTATAAACAAGAATTTTGCCGTTAATGCAAAAGCTTTATCTTCCATGTCTGCACCATATATAGGCTCGAATTCGAGCAAATATCATTATGTAATGCAAAATTGTGTTAGAAAGGTACTAGTACCCAACTTATTTGTCAACTTCGTACTCACCGAAATAATTTGTCAACTTTGAATTTTTGACCTTCAAAATCGCAAAAAAGTGCTATTTCACAGTCCCTAAAAAATGTTGCGAAAGTGCTTCGCGTTTTTTGCAAAAAAGTGCGCTAATAGTGAACACTGTTATAAATCCTATTCTAACTGCTTTGATTGAATGTTGATTTGATGTACTTAACTGCAGGCTAGTGAAGAAAAATAACAAGTCTATTTTAAATATGCAATTCATTCTGGCGTTCCAACAAGGCTCCATTATGCCTGCATTAAGTTACAAAACAAGTAATATAAGACTACTAAAAATATTCTGTTACCTTTTATCTTTTGTCTTAATTCCTTATTTTCTTTCTTTATTTGTTTCATCTCTTGTGCTTGTTGACGCATCATCATCTCTAATTGCCGATTTCCTTTCTCTGTCTCATCTATCTGTCGTTTCAGTTCTTCCACTGTCTGAGGTTGCTTGAAGCCTAATAAATACATGAGCAATACAATTAAGTGAATGGGTATAATAAAACATATTGAATAAATGAGATTTTGATACAGAGGCAAAAAGCAGTTTCATCTCAATCAGTTTTGTAATTTGAAAGTAAAGTTTCACACGATTGGCTCAAATATCTTGAATTGATAGTAAGTTTAATCACAACCGGGGCATTCCCTTCAAAACGTATCAGTGGCCGCAAGTATAAGGAAAAACTATTGACCATTAAATTAGAATAGGTTCATCTCAAATACGTAATCAATGCTATCTGTTATGTACTTGGAAGCCTAAGGCGTGAGTGGTATCTACCGGCGCTTAAAATTCAACAGCGTTGTGACAAAAGCGCTTCTTATTTCCTATTGTTCTCTACCACTGAAAAATCAGCTTTTACATCGGGCGGATATTCAAGCACCGGCCCTTATTTATTTTTATGTTCTGTTCACACGGGCGGCTATTCAAACAGGCGCTTAGTCAAGATCGGGCAGTAAAACGAGCATATATGGTATTCTTTTTTTTATATCTTTACGGATGAGATTGCGATCTCCTTCGAATCAATATTCACAATATGAAAATGACATATTCGAATCTTAACAGTGCTTTGAGTAAGTACTTTGGTGCATTTTTGGACAATCTTATCGGTTGTCGGTAGCCTGAGTCTACCTTGTGTGTCCTGTTTCATTCCATTGGATGGTTGATGGTATTAGCTTTTCTATATGAACTCCCGTTTGAGGTACCTTTAATTTCATGGGAAGGACAATATTACGTGGGTTTGAATGTTGGCGGTTGTTAGGTGGTTCTGGATGTTGCTTTCCCAGTTTGGAAGGAGATTAAAACTACTGATTAAGCCCAGGTTATTTTGAAATTTTGCGAAAAATCGTATTGCTTATTTATTTATTAGGCTTCAACCAAACTCAGACAGTGAAGAACTGAAACAACAGAAAGATGAGACAGAGAAAGAAAAGCATCACAAACTCGCCTCGAATAAATTAGGATAAAATTTTTTTTAAATTACATGAAATAGGTTGGTTCTATTTGAACTTGTAGAATAAGTATCTTCCTCAAATGAGGAATCTTCAAGTTTTCTTTCTGTTGCTCTTTTGAAATGAGCTGTCAAAACCTTTGGAAAATTGCAGTCTGTTTTTATATTATCCCCCATGGAAGCCACTCAAACTAATAAATGAAATGATTTACTGACCTTGTTCTAGATTAGATAACAGAACTCGCGCAGCTTCAAGCTTTTTAGCTTCTTCCATCAGTAAATCCAGATCTCGACCAAGATCCGAAGCTTGACTTGTGCCAGGTAAACTTTGTTCTTGTGAAGCATTTTGAGATGTTGTGGGATCTTCTCTATCATGAGAAGTTGAAGGTTGTTCTGGTGATTCTGGATCAGGGTCATCTAATTCCATCATATTCGGCAATTTATCCATTTTCTTTTCTGAATTATCCTCGGATTGAACAGTTTCAGCTTCAACTAAGAACATTAACTGCTGAACTGCACACTGCAAGCACAAAATTTTTTCAGTATTCATCTAATTGGGTCAAATATTCTGTCGCTTATCGTTACTCAAATCTTGTTTGCTCTCCTTTTTTTTTTAAAACAGTTCTTATTTATGTATTTTTCAATGTTTTTTTATTCGTTATGCTAATTACTGTATCATACCAGTACGTATTTTCGTAAACAATATTTCAATATTTTAACTAAAAACCATATTTCAAGTTTCAGAATACAATACTCGAGTTACATATAAGGAAATAAAAGGGTAACTAACAATAATAAAGATATAGCATTGTGATGCCTATAAAATGGCAAGTGCAGTTTTAAATATTCTGTGGCACTTGAAGCTGCCGCAATACCATGGAGGGATTGCCAAACAATGGTCTTTGACATTTTAGCTGCCACAAACCAATGGCGAGATGCAACTAACATGCCGCTAAAAACGACAGCAAATTGAAACGCGGCTGTGTGGCTCAACGGGCTAAGCGTTAGGAATACGCTCGCCACCGCACCTCTCATTACTCCGCGTGGGTTCGCAGGTTCGAATCCCATGCAGGGATAGTATGTGCGAGAGGATTGCTGGACTCCTCGCTGTCGTTGGGTGGTTCGTAACCGTTGGTCGGTTACGGCTTCCTCCACCACCAAGTCCATGCTTCCGAAAAAAAAAAATATATAACTAATCCCATACCCGACTTGGAATGGTAACCGGACGAGAGGCCGTGGTTCGCCATATGGATAAGCCGTCTTATCGGCTTTCCTCTCCCCCGGGATAAATATGTAAAATCCTATCCTATCCTGAAAACCAATGTCGGGTAAGGTTAAATTTTGCTGTCGTAACCACGGCACGTCAGCTGTATTGTCAGGGCTACCCCTGATGGTGACAAATATTGGACAAGTTGGAACATTTTCCTTATGGATACAGTTTTGCGATACCGATTGCTGCCACTGATTCGTTCGTAGCAGGAGCTGCCGTGAAGTGGTAAGAACTGTGACTGTGATCAAATTAAAGCAAAGGCTGAGAAAAGTCCAGTCATAACTAAAATGATGATCTATTTATCAGCTACCTTATTCAACATAATTCAGTAATTAGTGTCTACATCAGGGGTTCTCAACCAGTGGGCCGCATGAGGCCTGTCGATGGATATTTTGTGGCCCGCAAAGTTCCTTGATGAACCCAAACATATATCACGATATATTCGGCGTAACGAATATAATCAATTTTTCCATACTGTATCATTCTTCCAATCCATTTTTGCGCACGATAATACTATGGATTGTGTCATCACAAAAAACAGATGAATTACGTATTATTACGTGAAAATTGAGTTACCTAGCTTGCTCATCGCACCTTCCATCTATCTTCGGAAATGCGCTTTACATCAGAATGAAAGAACTGTAAAACTTTGTTGTTTTGAGTATAATTATATTTTTCCTATGTTGTCAAATTCTGTCATAGCTCTCGCTAAGGGAGAAGTTGCAACTGCAAACTTACGAATGCTCTCCATTAACTATGGTTTAGAATGCTTAAAAATTAATACATGCGTATTAAAGACCAGTATCGGACTAATGCATAAATTGAATGATATAAATACATGACAATAATATTCTGTGGCCCGTCGCATCTTTTTTGGTTAAAATGCGGCCCGTTTACTTGGGAAGTTGAGTACCCCTGGCAGCGCTGGATTAACCGTTAACAATATAAGCACGTGCTTAGGGCACCAAGCAAAGAGGGGCACCACAGAAATTCTAGAGCAGAATTTTATATAGTTTATCAGTGTTTATCAAAATATTAGAAGTTGACCAGAAAGAAACCCTGTCATGCTGACACATTTCGTGCGGTCCACAGAACAATTTTGGCGTATATTTGTATCTGATAGCAGAACGTTTTTGAGTTTTTTCAGCTATTCCAACTGTGGTTGTACATCACACAGTCTCTGCTTTGATTTCAAGTAATATCTGTCACGAAAGAGTATTATTCTGTAATTTGAGGCGACATTAAATGCGAGATGCGAAAAATACAAAGGTAATTTTCGGGAATTAATTTTAAAATAACTAATTTTGAAATAACTTTATATATCTTTTTTAAAAGAACGCCACCCATGCAACATAATAATAGTCTGATTACTGATTAGAACAGTACCGGTAAACTCTCGTTGTTTATTAAATTTTAAGTAATTAAACTCGCGATATTTCGATCGCTTTCGGGTTTTCTCCGACTTGTGGCCCGCGAGACCTCCTCAAAAGTTGTTGCGGTCCTTCAACCTAAGCATCCTTGAACCACTCTGAGGTAGACAACAAGGTACCGGTACGGTACCGGTAAAATTTTGAACTACAGTTGTGACTTGTATGCTCTAGATCAGGGGTGGCCAACCTTTCACATACCATGCGCCACGTTTTAAACATAATGTTTCAGATGCGCCGTAAATCACTTGTATTCCCACGCCTAATGTCCGCTTCTTGTTGAAATTATATAAATTTATAATACACACACATATATACACACGTATATGTAGTTTTTACAATTTACAACTTCACATGAATAGAAATTAAGCAAGGAAGTATAATAAATAAAACTGATCAATTTTATTTGAGTACCACCTTTATGAGACTTTTGCTGCTGTTTTACTTTCGCCAGTTTTTTTTATTCTTGGAGTTAAGTTTGTTACTGAGAGGAGCAGTGCATTCTTCAAATTTAAATCTGTAAGTCTTGACCTCGCTTTGCTTTTAATTAGTTTCATGGCAGAAAACGTTTGTTCACATCTATATGTCGTTCCGAAACGACATATAAAACCCTGGGCAAATTTTCTCAGTTCTGGAAAATTTTCACGGGGTCACGATTGCCAGAACTTGATCATGTCAGATGCACTTGGGACTGAAGAAAGCTCATCAAATTTAATTTTCTATGATGGATGAGTTTTCAAGTCAATTAGTTCCAATTGTATATTGCTTGGCATCTTCATTATGGTTAGTTCACTAAGTGAAAATGGGTTTATAAAAGCAAGTATAGAGTCTTCTTCTTTTGAAATATCATGAAAACGACTTTCAAATAACTCTTGCAATAACTTGATTCTTTCTGTGTATATTGCCAAATTGCCATTACCAGCAGCACATTCACGGTGTTCTTTATGTGAGGAAATTGGGACAAATCCTCTTTTTCCAACTGGGAAACGAAAAGTTTCAACTTCATCTTGAATGCGATAATGTCATTTACTAAGCTTGGAAATAGTTTGCTTTTGCCTTGCAGTCTCAAATTTAGATCATTGAGATGGCTAGTAACATCAACTAAAAATGCTAAATCAAATAGCCAGTTTTTATCACATAAAAGTGCTCTTTCCTCAGGTAGCTCGTTTTTCTCTTCAAGAAAATCATGGACAGTATTTTTTAGCTTCCGAAATCTATTCAGCACCTGTCACCTAGAAAGCCAGCGCACCTCACAATGAAGGACAAGGTCACCATATTCCAAATCCAACATTTCACAATATTTGCTTTTGTTGACAACGGTCATTTGAAGTTTGGATGAAAAAGGTGGTATTTAGGGGTCATTTTCAGCATGTTGTGGGTTGATTTATAATAATTTTTTCAGGCTTAGGCAATTCAACTGGTTGTTCAATGGTTATTGGGAGACATTTGGGAAGTCTGGGCAATGGAAAATCCATGTTTCAAGCTGATAAATGACGATTTTCTATTTTTCCAGGAGTTCTGAACTTTTTACTTCAGTAGGGAAAAAATAGTAAATTTTACTAATTTCTGCTAAAAGTCTAGAATGAATGTTATAAAGTCCGTCCAAAAGCTAACGTCGATAATCGCCTGTTGTTTCTAATTCCAACAAGCCGTAAGTGGGCGACGTGGAGTAAGGAAAATAGATTTTAGGTACAATAAAAGTCACCATGTAAATCGCAAAAAAACGGCTTGGCGTGGAGAAGCCAAGTGCAATTAACAATTTTGGCATGAAAAAAGTTAAAGATGCGCATGCGCCATAGGTTGGCCACCCCTGCTCTAGATAGATACGGTAGTTTATTTTGAAAATTCCATAACAAACATAAATTAAAAATGGAGAATACTGGGGAGCAAGCAAAACCTATAAAAAAGTTTAAAACATGAGAAGTATTTCACGTGCCTGCCCACCATCACTCACACACGCATTTCGATTCACGTTGAGATTGGAGGCACTCCCTCAGGATCAAAGTGACTTCTTGGGTGTCGCTGCTCGATAACCAAATTTGGTTCCTTGCGGCTTCCCTTCCCCAGTAAAAATGTGTGTTAAATTTTGTTTATTTTTTGATTTTGTATGTTATTATTTTGCTGGTTGGAAAATATAAAATTGACTATGACTATAAACCAAGTGAGGACATGCATTGGTAACGTTATAAGCGCTCGTGTGACGTCACACCAGCCATTTTGTGTCCAGAATTCTATCGCTGTATGATCCCAGCTAAGTGATTTAAACCTGCGATCGTTAAACAGCTGAATAAAAAAAAGATACTCAATAATTTGGACCAAACTTTCGCAGCGGCAAAACGAATGAACATTCTTCTGAAAAATTAATTATCCGCAGATGTTTCTCGGATAACTTAGCTCGGCGGTATGGTCAGCATATACGAAGTTAAGGTTAAAGTCATCCAACTTCACTCGATAAATCAACACCCAATAAGACCTAAAAATTAAACAAAGGATACACATTTTATTACAAAATTATTATAAAATTCCTGATGTAATTAACGCTACTTGCACAAAACTTATTTTAACAAACTGACAGAACTACAATATAAACAAGAGAGCTATGCTCAAATATATGGACACGTAGCACGAAAAAAAAAGTAATAGCCTTCTGGAGAAAAAATTTATCTTCAACCACTGAAAATTTCAAAGCAATTGGTCCAGTATTCGAAGAGAAAAGCGATTTTTTAATGATAATGACAAAAGAAAAAACAATAACAACAAAATTTTGAAACGATCGTTATGGCCACTGAACGTGTCCAATTATACTACAGAAACTTGCACTATTTTTGCGGTACATGTCATTATATTAAAATATGCGTATCGCAAATTTTCAATAAGGTGTACATTGTCAAAATAATATTAAAAAAATATACTACATGCATGGAATGAAGGATAACGGCGTATATCAAGTTTACAAGAACATCTAATAATCTGGAGTGTATAACATAATATATTATCTATTTGACTTGAGCTCTTGCCGCAGGTCTACAAGCATACCGTTTTTCAATAATTTTATTTGTCTCCTCTTTCGCGTGAATATTTAACTTTAAATTGAGAAACCGTTTCAAAGTTTTATAAGCGATATTGTGGCAAGATGGGAAATTATATTTCAAGCAACTTTATCTGTCAGAAAAGTAACAGGCGAACATATATTATGAAAGGCATTAACATTGGCGCGAAATATAGTTTATGCTTCGCGCAAAAATACGATTGCTTTTGTGGATGGGTGGCATAAATATTGGGTAAAACTATCAATTTTCAAATATTTATCATGTGTGTAAGACCTAAAAAGAGTTAGTAACGATTGTGGGCATTCATCGGGATTGACACTTTAAATA